TTGCACTTTAAAAGGTTCTTGCTTCTTATTGCTGTCAGGATAATAATGCTGCATCATTCCACCTAACTACCAATAAATAGAAATGCAGAGCCATGACTTCTATTCAAAAGCATGCAGACTCCTTTGTATGTTTTGGTATATATAAAATATATCTTTCAACTTGTAGCTGTAGTACAACATCTGAATTAAATCATGACTTATTCTTTCTATTAAAACTGTGTTGTCCTTGCCATTATCCCTTTTTCCGGTAAATGAGTACAATGAAAAATTGATTCTAGCTGTATTGGACTGCAGCAAAGTAACAAAAGATGATTGTTACATTATCAAAGTCCTCTCTGCATCCATAATATAAGAATTGAAAACACCTGTCTTTATCTTCTCAATCAATATTGCACCTGAGTCACATTTTCCTGGAAAACACTTTAAAAGGTGTCCACTGTATGTTATTTAGATTTAACAAATGCATTATTCAGGCTGTCTTCATTTATTTTGATTACCTGAGATTGCTCTGCCATCCCTGTGAGTTATAAAAAGCCTAATATTAAAAGCCACACTAGACTAGTATGTCAGTAACAATATCAGATGGCTTCTCTTATGTGAAGCCGTGTGACAGCTGAACAAGTACACTTTGTAAAATGTATGTGGAAAACTGGTGTTCAAGTGGGACATTTCATGTCATGGCACTCTTTCTATCAAGTGGAGCAGGGCAGAGGGCTTCAGTCAAAGGTAGCTTGACCAGTATGACCCAGTTGGAAGCAGATTTAGGGAAGTGACAGTGGACATTAGTCTGCATTTCTAGAAAGGATAAGCCAGAGCTGGCTGCCTGACACTGTCAGCTGTGCTTTACAGACATGCTTTCTAATACTTATAACATGCAATGCTTAAGAGCAGCTAATTTACTGCATGTCTCAATAGCAGTCTGAAAATGCTGAACATCCAGTAAGAACAGAGAAATAAGTGAGCAGCTCTAGAGACATGGCCATAATTTCAACATGTACATTTGCATATTCCATCTAATGCCTCAAGTCAGATGCCTAAAATTAGTAGATTTATTTGGATGTGTGGAAATAATTGTGATTTGTTTCACAGCAATCAATTTGTGATGCTTTGATTTCCCTTTCTGCAGAATTAAATTATTAAGGGGCAAATATGATTTTCAAGATACTTTTTATCATTCTCTCTGCTTGAAGTTTTGGCAAGTTTGACACACTATAACCCAACATTCTGCCATGAGTAATAAATACTAAAAAAAAACCCCAATCAAATAAAAAACAAATTAAGTATGAGACATGCAAAGAAATGAGGGACAGCAGGCTAGTAGTACCTTGCCAGTCCATATCAAATTATCGGCAACCATGAGAGACAGCAGCAGTGGTCTGAATGAAGAGACTCTGCCCCTCAGCTTCTGTGTGGGGCAGTGTTGAGACTGCAGGGAGTCAGATGAAGGGTTGAGCTGTTCTTCAGAGGTGCCTTCATGATCCTCTGCACACAGACCTCCTTTCTGGCAAGTCCCATAAGGCACAGGCTAATGGGAATTGCAGCAGGTCCATCCCAGCAGAGACAGGGCTGCTGCAGTGGTGTTTAGCAAGGGGTACCTGCTCCAGGATTTGAGGCTGGTACAGTCCTGCCCTAGGCAACAGGGAGAGATGATGGTCATCTGAGCCCTGCTCCAGCTCCTCAGCTCCCTAAACAGAGCTGGGGCAGGACTCAGGGCAGAAAGAATGTCCTTGCTATCCAGGAGAGGTCTTGAACTACACCTGATTGCTGTTTGCATTGTCCCCAAGATGCCTGGTGGTGACCCACAGTGATGTGACACACACTTGGGAAGCAGGAGTAAACAAGCTTGAGTGTTCAAATTTTGGTCAGTACCTGAGGCTAACTCATTCCAACTCAGCCCTGAAGAGCAAGAGGCCACCCCGTTCTAGCAGTGAAACCATCAAAGCCCCTGCCTACGTTTCTCTTGCATTTGGCAGGAGTACCCATAATTTTTTTCCATCTCCTACCCTCATTTTGTTTCTGTTTAAAAATCTTGCTTTTTGTTTTAGCAGAAGAGTAAAAAGATCTGCTTAAAAATTAACTTCAAAGCCCTTAGTCATTGCACAGCTACAAGCACAGAAATATTCCCTTTCAGTCTTTTTTATTCTTTGTTTTGGTGTTTTGTTTTGGTTTTTTTTGTTTTTTTTTTTTTTTTTTTTTTTTTTTTTTTTTTTTTTTTTTTTTTTTTTTTTTTTTTTTTTTTTTNTAACTTCGAAATTCTGAGTTGAAAAAAAGAGAGCTGAAGATAAGATCTATGTTCCATTTATGTGTTTTGTTTTGTTTTGTTTTGTTTTGTTTTTTTTTGTTTTGTTTTGTTGTTTTTGTTTTGGGGATTTTGTTTGGTTGTTGTTGGGTGTTTTTGTTTTTATAGCTGGGCAAGGAAAGACTGGACCTGCTGCTGCAGCATGCCCTGGGACCACCCCATTCATGCCCCACTGACCCATCAGCACAGTATTTATTCAGGATCCAGTAAAGCTGTGATATTTCCTCACTCATTTGTGCTGTTCCTCAAGTCCCACAGGGGTCAGACCTTGCTGTGGCTCTGTACATGGGCACCAAAATGACAGGGGAGCAGAACAGCCCAGGCAAGTGCCAAGCCTTGTCTTCAGCTGTCCTGGATATTTAAAGTGATAATACAGCAACATCTGAAGTTTGCTTTGGCTCAGGGGAGACCCTGAGTGCCAGGATGCCTCTGTCAAACATTTAACCTTTAACTGGCAATATCACAGTGATACCTTGATGGGAACAGGTTTCTCAGGAGCTGTGCGCACCTCTGCTGCCAGAACAGCCTTGCTGGTGGCATTTGGGAGCTTCTACTTCTGCTCCCAGGCAGACCAAAGGTAAGGAGAAGAACAAGAAATAAGAAATTACATGAAAAAAATGTGTCTAGCTCTGATTAAAAGTTACTCCTATTGGAACTGTACCTCCATGCATCTGTCTGGCCCCTCTCCACATGCCTGTCCCCTGCACAGAGGTGTACACAGAGGATATCTTAGTTGAATTTCTTCCTCTGCTCAGGCCAGGAGTGTTCAGAAGGCTCTGCCTGCACCACTGGGGGTGGTGGGAGGGGGCTGTACACCTGGATCTATGGGAACCTGCAGTCCTGCTATCTGCAGAAATGAGCTGCAAAGCTGCTGCTTAGCTCTAACCCTTAATATATTCATATTATCTCATCAATGCAACTAGCAAGTGAACTAAAAACTGAGTTTATGATGAAATTCTGGCTTTCATTACAGAATTTTGTACCTATTTAAAAAATATATGCAGGAGCATGTTGCTGATTATTTTGAGAACCTATGCAAATTTATTGATTTGCAGTAGGAAAGGCTTGCTGTGAAGTGTAAATTAAGCCATTTAAATCATCTTGCATGGTAACTGGAACATGAGCTCTGTTCGCTCACTGAGTTAATACCGTTTCCCACCATTGTTTTACAGTTGTGCTTGTGGTCATTGCTGGCCTAGAAGAGATAGCTGCTGTCCTCCTGCTTACCTTTGGCAGCAGATAACCCTCCTGCTTTCTGGGCTGGATTTTGTTTGTTGCTATTTGATGGTGTCCCAAAGCATGCTGGCTGCTCCTTTGGCCATGCAGGACTGGCTCCCCTCAGCAGAACAGGACACAGGGTCCTTGAGTGGGGGCAGGCTGCAGAGCCAGGACATCAGTGCTATGTCAAGCTCTGCTTTTCATTGCTACAGGTTACTTAAAAAAACTCTCTGTAGGCAGTTTCCACCTAAATACTTCTGCAAAACATGATCGGGGTCCTATTCAGTTTCATCCCCATCCCAAGTCACCAGCGGGTCAGATGTAATTGAAGATGAGACAGATCCTAATTTTTTTTCATGTCCCTGCATGTGAACATATGGAGGCTGTTTTAAAGATAGACCAAGGGAGATATTAACACATAAATCCTGTAGATAGTTGTATTGGTTTTCAGGCAAATGTACACATGAACATGTTTTCAGAAACATGGAGTTGAAGGCTGAGGTAGAAAAGATTCTCTGGAGTCCCTAACTGAAGCTCTGCCCTCAAAGTGGGGGATTGCACAAAGTAACACACCAGACAGGTGAGGGCTCCTTTACAGGTGCTCTTCACTAATTAAAAAGCTAAGATGGAAGTTTTCTGTGGTGGAATAACTTTCCCCTTCACCTATGTTTTATGCTAACATCACAGTATAGGCTTTTAATGAGTTGCTCTCAAATCTGCTTTTTCCTAACAATAGAAGTAGAGTCATTCCGTAATTGAAGGGTTATTTGATACAGGAATAACGCACATATCCGTCAAGGCAAAACCACCTTGACTTTTGAAGGCCTTGCACATGATGCACATAGCATTTGCCCTTTTAGAAAAGCACAGGCTTTTAGGGTAACAGACCACTGGCTGAGTCAAGTGATATTGAGTGGCTCAAAACTATAACTCAGTCCTGCTATGCAATGCTGCATCCATTCAGGGAAAAAAAACAATGTTCTAAAACTTCCAGATGAAACAGAGAGAAAAAGTTAAATGCAAATGTTAAAATGCGTGTTTTAGTTCTCACATTTTACAAATTTAAGAGGTGCTGAATTTTACTGACAGTTTTCTTGGCAGCAAGTGAATTCCAAAGATGCACATGCAAATATTTGTCAAAACTGAATTTTCAATTTTGCATGCATAAGGATTACTCCAGAAGTGCTGGCATACTCACTTGCTCCCAGAAGAAAAGTAATGTCATGTGGTATGTCTGGCCAATCACAGAAAAACTGTGTATTTTTAATTTTAAATATTCTGATTAATCCATAGAGTAAAAAAATATAGTGAAAAGGAAGTCACTGAATATATTTGAATAATAAATTTAAGATGGTGTGATTGGCTTATATATATTCTCCAAGCAAGGAGAAATAAAATTAATCAAATAAATTATTCATTTTGAATTATTTGTTCAGGTCTGTTTTTACAAGTAATGCCTACTAGTGATGTCTGAATTTTGCAGTTTGCTACAGAAGCTCTCGTATCATGTGTCCTGTTGTCCTGATACCCACTGCTTTGTTTGGGTCTGACTTCTTCACAGGTGAGTTCTGCATTTGCTGTGTTGGTATATCTTCCATGAAAGAATTGCTAAAAGCAATCAGGTCTTTAGTAGCAGGCACTGAAAGTCCAAGGTTCTCGTTGACCAAAAGCCATTAGAAATATAATGGTGCCCATTTCTACTAAATCATTAGAGCACAAATAGCATTGCTCTGCCTTGGCCTTTGAGCAGAATTAGATTCAGGTTAGAGTGCATCTGTACGCTTACCCAGAGAAGCACTCAGTGCTGCTGTCCTAATTGCACCCCAGATATCCAGACCATATTTACAGAGAGGATTTAATGGTTCTGCCACCAAAAGTCTGTTAGCCTTTCATTGCATTTATTTTCATCAGAGAATCCAATCCCTGTGTTCTCTGAGATAAATACAGTAATTAAAATATAATTCATCTTTCTTTGATAGCTACATCATGTATGATACTTGTCTACAGTCTTGTTCCAAGCTCACAGAGGAGGGAGAGCACAAAGTTGAACTATTTAAGTGTTTATCAGTCTCCTGACATTAATAAAGCCCTGCACTGGGAAGGGGACAGTGAGTTGCTGAGCAGAACTGGGCCCGGAGCAGCAAACCACCCCTCGTGGTGGATGAGGAGCTGAGTGTGTGCAGGGGGGCTGTGGGGCTGTGAAGGGCAGTGTCTGCAGCTTTCCTGCAGCCCCAGGTCTCACCACTTTTGTGAAGCAAAGCAACGAGGTGCTAGAGCATCATTTTCCTCCATCCACTAAAGGTGAGTGATGGAATGACAATTGATGCTGCAGCACAGTCCTGCTGAGGGGAATTTAAAGTGCTAAACAATGTGTCTCTGCTCCAAAACTTACGTGTGAAACTGGGGGTTTGATCAAGAGCCTGCCAGCCACATCCTGCTGCCCAGACAGCAGCCAGGGCTGGTGCACAGGGGGATTGTGACAAGGCTGGCAAAACCTGGAGCAGAATGGTCAGCTTTTTTTTGTAAAAACTGCCAGATGATTGTGAATTTCATTGCCAAACATGGCTCTGTTTGAAACACAAAAGTGCACAAATGTAAGTGGCACTGTCAGCTCCCTAAAAATCACATTTTTGGAAGTCTGTAATAGTTGTTCTGTTCCATATGTGGAGGGATTTTTATGAAATGTTCCAGGCAGAAAGTGAAAAACTCTGTGGTATACTGGCACGATAAAGCTATCTTGCATGAATGCAGTGCTTTCCACTTAAAGTGACTTGCATAAGTGGAAATATTATCCCCATTTTGCTGATGAAGAAACTGAAGCCCAGCATTTCCTTTGAGTCACATCCAGTGAGCAAGGATAAAGCCAAGAATGAATGTGCTGACATGCAGGATTTCCCATTGCCACCAGACAGGTTGTCACCACTGAAAATATTTCATTCTGACTTTATAGTTGTCTTCTCCCTGATTAAAGTACCGTCTTACTAACCACTTTATTTCAACACAGTAGAAAAAAGGAATTGTCTGTATTTGCTTCAATCTGTTCTCCAAGGCATCTCATAATGTGGCAGGAGACCTTGCAAGCTGCACTTGCAGTGACTGGGCACACCAGAGAAGAGGCCGTGTCCTAAATTAGCTGATGCAACTGGTGCCTGCACTAAATCTATTTCTGTGCAGGTCTAGAATATATGGAAGGCAGCAAAATGTGGCTCCTAGAAGACTTATGTTGTCTGTAAGGAATCATTATAACTTTGGTTAGAATTGTTAACCATTCAGCAAAACGATACAAGACGTAATTATGTGAGTTATTGATCAATGTGTATTAAGAAAGACCTCCATATAGGTCATTATGAAGCATTATTTGGGCCTCCAAGTGCATCAATAAAATCATTTATTCCTTCACATGGGTACTAAAGAAGACTTAGAAAGATGCCATTTGCAGAAAGCTGCTTTTGCCAGTAAATTATATTTACATCTGCTGCATATGGATAGGCGGGATACAAGCCAAGTATGTGATGGTGGGAAGCAGCTTGCTGCTTCTGTTTTGGGAAAGTTCATCACGGTTGAAATTTTGGACAAATTAGATTCTGAATCAAGCTAGAGAGACAGCAGCAGATGAGCTCAAAACTTTAGTTGCTCCAGAAACTCCATTCAGAATAATATACTATCTCACGTGTCTTGTCTCTCCATCAGAGTTCTGAGGATATTTTCTGGTTGCTGATGAGAGCAGAGAAGAAGAGAGGATCTTGCACTGAAAGGAAGAAAAACACCACATAATCTGCTTCACTCTGAGTTTTGTGTTTGGAAAATAAGGACGTGGAAGAGGTCCATCTTTGCTGCCATTTGGATACAATTACAAGAAAAATTAAAAAGGTATGAAAGGCAAACTATGCCAGTGGGAAATCTGGTCTTCTGCAGTGGTTTGTGCCCAAACACAATATAGATGACAGATAAATTCAACTACACTTTTTGGGCAAACTGTAATGCTTGGAGATGAAGGATACAGGTACAGGCATTTTGTCCTCAGAGGCAAATGAATGCTGCAGTAATTTCCCTGGTACAAAACCAGAGCTGAACATACACCTTCCACAAGGTCCTCTGGCCTGGCTTTGCACCTTTTTAGGCTCTTGTCCTGCTGCCACCTCCCTCCATTGGGCAGCAGCTGGGGGCTGGTGTGGAATAGCCTGGAGCGTTATGATCAGGGTCCAAGGTGGGATCTCAGCCCCAGGGCTCCCCCCTGGGGAGGAGCTTCCCCTTCAACAGGAGGATTCCAGGCAAGAGCTGCTGAGGCGTGGGTGGTGAGCAGCTTTTGCCTTTGCTGGTTGTGCATTTTGTCCCTCTGGATGAGCAAGAAGCTGGATCTGCCTCCCAGTGCTGTGCCTAAAACAGGAGGAAAGCACCGTGTCTGGAGGATCTGTCCAGCAATGCAGCCTGCACGTTACTGTTGCAAATCAGGAACACAGTGCAGATCCTGATGTTGTTTTGCAGTGCAGAAAAAGCAGCCTTTTCTTTAGAGAATGTGATAAAAATGGGCTCTGGCTTAATCTCCACACCTGAGGCTGGATTAGTGACTCAAGCAGGCAGAGCTACTGTTCTGTAACCCAAATAATGTCTGAAATGCAGCTCGGTGGAAATGGCTGCACTGCTCGTTTAGGGAAACAAACACAGAAGGAAGGGGGAGAATGAAGGGCTTTTCAGTCACTGTGCTGATAGTTTGTTGGCTTGTAGCTGTACATATGGAGAGCTGGCTGAAAGGTCACCAGGTGCTTTCAGGGCTGGCTGCTGACAGGCGAGATGTGTGTTAGAGTGAGTGAGCAGGCTGTGCACAGCTGTCCCTCACTTGCTGGGGATGAAAGCCTCATGTGGTGGCAGAGGGGCTCAGGGGCTTCTCAGCATTGCTACTGCTGGAGTGCACAACAGGGCCCTTTTGCAGGACTCTGCAGCTTACCAAAGTCATGGATACTGACTGATCCCTGTGCATTCCCTGGCCAGGGAGCCTCTGATACCAGCATGGAGCATCCTGCAAGGATGCTACTGCCAGCCTTTTCTGCCCAGGGTGTACCTGTGCATTGTCTCACAGCACCTACCTCTGTTTCTCTAGCAACTATTTCACTTTAATCCATGTTCTGAGTCACATAGACAGTGACAGCTCACAAACAGTGAATATTTTGCAAATCTAAAATAAAATTTTCTTGCCATGGATATAGGGGCAGAAGACCCCAGAGAAGACTGAAGACCCTTTCCCAAGCCCTCACAGGACAAGTGCTGCTGAGGCTGGAGCAAACCTTACTCTGCTGCAGGCAGACTTCTGCCTTAGACTCAGTGGCTCCTGGCAAGTAAAATTACAGCAAGTACTACAGTGATTTGCAGAAGTAAATGTTTATTTCACCACTAAAATGCAAATGTCTGGTGTAGTCCCACAAAGTGTACACGCCTGCTGATGGCACTTGTTTGTGGCTGTCCAAGTTTAGATTATTTTTGCCTCTCAAATTTAATAATTTTGACAAGTTAATTTCAGCCTGTTCTTGACAAGGAAAGTACCTGTGAGTAATATAGTTTTGGTGTGTGTCAGTACCAGCCCTGGGCTCTGCCACTTGCCTCCAAGACTGTTTCTTTCAGTAAGGGGCACACCCCGCTCTCTCATGGGCAACATGCTGTGTGACCAGTGTTTTCTCTTTAGCTGGAGGGAGTAGCTAAGCGTGTGACTAAAATCCACCACACCAGAGACAGCTCCCAGCAGATCTCAGAGGAGCTGGCATGTGTCTGCTCTGGTTCCAGGGCTCCCTGGTATGCCCTGCTCCCAGTGCCCAGGACCCCAGGCATGCCTCTGCCTTGAGCATCTCTGACTGCACTTACTCCATCCAGCCCCTCCTCTACAGGTGATGAATACTTGGGTGTGTAAATTCAGAGAAAATTTAAGAAAAATTGGCTAGAGAAATTAAAACTGCCTCAGGCAGCTTAACTTGTACAGCAACACATACAGTACTTAGCACCCTAGATTTCATTATTCTTAACAGCATAACTGGAGTCCTATTTTCACACATTAAATATTCTTGGATTTTTTTTCCCCAATGAGCAGACATATGATTTTTTTTTCCTCTGCCATCAACATGCATGTTTTGTCCTTTAAGAGACTTTTTTCAAATTGGAATACAGATTAGTTTTACCTACGATTTAAAGAACTCCAATGCTTGGTAAGGCCTCAGTTCCTGTTTTTTATGGAAATGCATAGCTGTGGGGCTATGGGGAACTGCTCACTGCTTAGCACTTCTGAGAGCAGAGCTGTGCAAGAATACACTATTTTCACATCGAGGCTTTCACAGACAATGTGAAATTTGACTGTTTGCCATGAAAAAACAATCTCCTTAAGCAGGAATAGGCATGCTTTTGTGCTCTCCCAGGCCAGACCTGCAAAACCCTGAGAGCATGAAGGGAGAGGAAATGTCAAAGCCTATAACAGGCAGGGACCAAATGACCAAGGCCCATTGTATGTGCCTGAGGTAGAGGCTGAGGGTGTATAATGAGGAGACTGGCAATATCTGTGATTTCTGTTTGCCACTGGAAACAGTGAGGGGAAACGCTGGAAACCAAGCCCTGTGGCGGGCAGACTCCCAGGTAAGACACCCACGGTGTGGGTGGGAAAACACCAGAAGGCATTTGCTGAAGCAGAGTGGGGGAAGCTGGGGGTGGCCAACCTGGTGGGGGGAGGTTGGGTAAGTCCTGTCATGGGCTTTGGGAGGGTTGCTAGCATTGCTGTCAGTATTACCTTTTCATTTTCACTTCTTGGGTTAAGACAGTGTGTGCAATGAAAACTTGTGTGTCAGGGTTTCAGTCAAAGGCAGTTTTTGCCCACACACCCCTGCCTAGATCTTGCTGGGCTGTTTCGTCACATCCTTCTAAAGCCCTAGAGCCCTTCAGGGTGAGATTTGTGCAACAGAGAGCTGTTCATCAGAGAGGAGAGTCCTGAGTCTGCCAGCTCACTAAACATGGGTGTCTGCATTTGAGAGGGCTGAGCAGCTTGCTAGGCTCCTCTGCTGTCTAATATAAAGCCCTATGGACTGAAAAAAAGTCTGAGGCTGCTTGTGGACCTGAATCCCATGCTTGGCACTCTGTGCTGTGAGACAGAGGGTCCCCTTGTCTCTGCCTCACGTATCTTACCCTCCCCTGCACTCCCAGGCTGTGGGTCCCTGCTGGTGCAGTGCTGTCCTGCTTTCAGGAATACCAGGCTACCTCATGTGAAGTGTCAAGTGGCACTAGACATTCATGATTAGGAAGTCAAATCCTTCTGTAATTGTCCTGGGACCAGAGTGAGTGAGTGCTCTGGTGCAGAGTATCATCTTTCCTAAGATGATCTTCAGGTGTTTCAGTCCTGCTGCTCATTAAACTTAAGCCTCACCTGCTGGGATGATCTGGGCATATCTCATCTAAATAATTCTTTGCTATTCCAGGGGCCTTAGATATTCCTGGCAGCTTTGTCTGTCTTGTTCTCAACCAGTGAAGCACAATTTAATTTTAGGACTTGAAACATTTTACTCTAATGAAGTCTCTGAGTTTAGAGCACAGGTGAAATGTAGTAATTTATATGGTACAAGAGGTCAAACTAAATGAACTAGTAGTCCATTTTGGCCCTAAATTATGAAGTTCACAGAATGATTTCTAATAATTAATGCATTTGTAAAACATGGATGCCTTCTCAGGAATAATCTGCAAACAGAAAAACAACTTGTTTTGTTAAGCAGACTGTGACAAACAGTTCTTCCAACTTTATGCTATACAGACATGTATTTTTGGATATTCTTTGGGGGGAAAATCTACTGCAGTCAAATCTACACAACCTGCAAGAAAAGAATCTGAAACAAAACTAAAGATATATGTAGATTATGAAAGGTAGAGAATCAGGTTGGAATTCTAATGTAAATGTATGTCACTATCAGTAGAGATCACTTGTAAAGCACTATTTTAACTTGAAAAGCCAAGAACTAGAATATTGAAGTGAAAGTCTTTTTGCATGTGCATTTAGAACAAAAGGCACCCTGTCATTAGAAATTATATATAACAGGCAGATGAGGGTTGTTGTTTTCAGTGTTTGGTTTAAATGCAATAAAGATGAACAAAATTAAAATATGTTCATTGATGCATGAGGATGAAGTCAAGATCAGAAGTACAGTTTCCTAATTTTTAGATTTATTCAAAGACTCTTCCTTTGTATTAACTGCTACAGATGTTTAATGAATACTTAAAACCAAAACACCACTTCCCACCTCCCCCCCCCCCCCCCCCCCCACTGTGTTCAGTGTGTTTTGTACAGGCAACCTGATAAAAAGAATATCTAGGAGGAGGGGAAGGCAAAATCAAAGTTGATGTATCAGAACATCTACTGCATGTCTAAATACAATGAAATTTGAACTGTGTGGGTGTATTCACTGATTTTAAAGAGCGTTCATTGATTTTAGTTTTATTATGTTTGGAATTGTGGTATGTTACACAAAGACCATTTTACTGATCTTTATGATTCCATAAAAGCCTATAACAATTTGGATAAAACTGGCTGCTCTGTATTTTTTCTTTGTTTCTACTGTTAGACTTTATGCTTAGCTCCAGGTATAATGAGAACACAGAGCTTTCTTCTCATCTCACTGAAAATTATAGAAACATTGCTACAGGCTCTGGGGCATCCAGGCACAGGATACATCCTGGATCCTTCAACAAAGACACCTGGTTTGGCCATGTGTGGAGTTGGGATATTCTGAGGCTGACATGAACTGAACCTGTGGTAACAACAGAGTGTTGGAAAGGTACCAGTAAGACCAAATTTCCATGAGATTTCAGAGGTGCAATGCCCTGTTCTGATGAGATTCTCTCCTCCAACCACCTGTCTGAAAGTTCACTTCCCAATGTGAACATGGAAAGGATAAGCTTGGTGAAAAGGTGAGTCAGTGTCCAAGCAAAACTCTGAATTTTTCCTTTTTCTGTACAAACAGGAGGGAACTGTAGTCTGAGGAAAAATAAGACACAATATCCAGCAGTGTCAGATATAACCAGGGAATGGTAAGAGGACTTAGAGCAGGGGAGTGGGAGTCCTGAGAGTTGGGGAATATTTATAACTCTGCAGAGATCCCACTGTGTGGACTTGGACAAAGTGCTCCAGATTGATGTGAATATCAGTAGCGATACATAAGACCCCTGTTGGCTTCCACAAGCTTTGAAGTATGTTTGAACCAGACTTCAGTGGCTCAGTATGCACTGCACTACCTGCTCCTGTTCTCCCAGGCTGAAGCACAGACCTCCTGTGTGGAGCTGCCAGGACAAAGCTTCTTTTTCTCCAAGACCTGGAGGAGACAGAACAAGGATGCAAGGTATTGGAAAGAAAGGCTTTTGTGTGGAGAGACTGGACAGTGAAGGACTGGACGGTGTCACCTTTGTGGGAAGAGGCCCCACCTGGTTGGGCACTCCTTGCCTTGGGTGCCCAGGGCAGTTTTCTCTGAGCACAGCAGGGCCTGTTGGACACACTAAGATGTGGCAATTAATCCTTCTGTGCCAATTGGCCAGTCCTTGCAAGGAAGTCTGATAGGACAGTGTTACCACACAGCTGGAAGCCAGAGGGGACAAAAGGCCAGTTGCTGCCAGGCACAGGTGAACCTTGTGTGTAACCTGCACCTCCCAGCCTGTGGCTGGCAGCTGTAAAGCTGCAACTGTTTTTCTGTTCGGTGAATGAGGTTTTCACTATGGTTTCATTTCATCTGATGGGTGAGACGTATTTCCTACAGTTAAGTTGAACAGACAGCACATCATCCTGGCTACATTTTTCAAGGGTGTTTTTAAGTTTGTGCACACAGGTTTTCCACAAGGATGCACTTTTTACTCATACTCTCCCTTTGCTAAGTTATAACAACCAAACCATGCTACATTCAGACTCCTAAGCTTTGAGATAAAAAAAAAAGATTTTCTGAGGAAGAAAGCTTACAGTCTAATTAGTTGATGGTGTTTCTCCTCACAGTTTATACTTCTGGATTGAAGGTTGAGGCAATTTAAGCACTGGCTTTCACCACAACGAGCACCCAGAGCTCAGATAAATTCAGGCAAAGCCCAGGCTTCCCAGGCACAGATTGTATGCCCTGTAGCACCAACCAGTATAAAGATGGAGACTTTAAAACTGATGCTATTATTGCTGATCCCAGCTGGAGAGATTTTGGTGTTAGAAATAAGCTCATGTTTATAGAGATCTTTCTCTAATCCTGGCATGTTTCAAAATCCTGGGTGAGATTTAGTTAAATCCTTGAAGGGAAAAGAGATGAAATTTTAACCTCAAAATCCACAACAGTCCTGAACATAAATGGACACCACAGGATCATTAAAGAGCTTATCTCCATCTCACAAACAGGCCAACACTTGCACACACTGTCTGTGTGTCACAGGGAGGTGTTGCACACCAGCGAGCTGGGTGCCACGTCAGTGTGCTGGGGATGCCTGTGGCAGGACACCAGTAAACTCATGCCACTACAGTCAGTGCCACTGCTGCCCAGACTGCCTTCCTCTTCATTTATT